TAGAAAAGAAAAGGAAAAAGAGAAAGGGGTGTGTTTGTCCCTTCCTTTGATGGTATATGGTGTTTGTATGTATAAATTCTATCTTTTTTAAGGCTTCAACATCTTCCATTCCTCCCACACTTTCTTTCCACCTTTTTAACCTTTTCTATTTCCTTTTTCCTTTTTCCTTTTGTGCTATTTATGTATGTGGTTTTGGACCTTTGTAGGCCCCATATATCAACCACATGCTTCACTTCAATCTCATTTATCATGTCATTCACTTGGAAATTTCAAAAATAAATAATATATATATATATAAGGTTGAGTTCACGTGAGACCCATAGTTTTTCGTGAGACCCGTAAGACCAATTTATGTTTATTGATCAAATTTATAAGCTAATGATCTAATGGTCTAAAGTTGGACAGTGACAATTTTGTAATTATTGAGAAGTCTCGTGGCAATTTTGTGATTATGAATGTTCAGATTGGAGATCTAATCCAAGGGTTGAGAATTGGTTTTACATGTCTCACATAATCCCAAATATATATATGTATATATATATATATATATATATATATATATAACTGACTCACATCTTATGAATTTATTTGATCGTCTTCTTTTGTTTATCAAGTTTGTATGGTGACGGATTGACGTTTTATGTTTTTTTTGCCAACTATTCATTAATATGTTTTTCTATCTCTTGCAACATGCTATTGAACCGACAACCATTTTTGCTAGATCATACTCTAATTATTTGTCTACAGCTCACAATATTGAATCTGTGATATTAATCTATGTTTCATGAACCCTCTTCTGGGTTTTTCTTAACCCATGCTTGCTCCAATTTCATCTCATGACCTAAACTAAATCTCGAGGCTACTTGAAGTCAATGTTGGGAAAACTGACGTTTCCAACAACACACACAGTGAGCAATAATATAAAGAAAAGACTCGAAAACTTACCTGGACACTTTAAAACCAGAGAAAAACCATAAGTTTCTACAGAGAAAATCCATTATATGGAAAAACTGTACAGTCACACAATTCTTATCTCTCAAACATTTCCCACTAGTTCTCACACTCTCAAAAATTAAACTCAGGGGTTGTTTGTTTACCTCTTAATAGTTCCATTAAGAGGCAATATCTGAATCGTTAAAAGGTGAATCTTGTTTGGCAAAAAAAAAGTGTCTCTTAGTGGTTCTAAAACCCTCTGAATGATTTTGTATCCTGAGTCTCCCTTAACTATTAAGAGCCCTAATTTCATTGTAAACAAATTACCAAACAATTATATTTCATTTTGTACTATATCATGAGAACCTCTTAATCATTCTGACCACTTAATGATTCTGCACAAAACCATTCAGCAACTGCCAAACAACCACTTACACCTTTCTACTCTCTAAAACAATACAAAAAAACAAGAAACAATAAAACGTATTTAAACGTATTTTAGAGACAAACCTTTTGTATTTATCTTTTATTTTAATCAAATAATGACATCATAAATATTTGTTGAGTTTAATCATATTACACAAATGTGTTTCTATCTACTATTCAAAGAATTATAAAAGTTGAATTACATTTTGTCTTGTTTTAATAATAGCAAAAATAATATTTAATTAATTAATTATTTATTTATTTAGGAGAAAACATATGGTGGATAGTGGTCCGTGACCTAAGAATGCTCCACCAGGGGCGGCAGTGGCCGATCTCAAACATTATAAAATAAACGACTCTGATTTTATTTGAAAATAAAGCGTTTGATGGAACATGTTCCTTACACTACATGTCATTTATTCTCACTAAACCCCCCGACACCATTTACATTTTTTATTCTCATAATTACTTTTATTTTTATTTTTATCATAAATGTCTCGACTAACTTGTAATCTTAGGTCTCTGAAGAAGAACCAGAAAAATCCTTACAGGACTCGAACCGGTGATCTTTAAAGAAAATCGTTAAAGACCCAAATTTTATTGTCAAGTTGAACCAACTCCATTAGAAGTCTGTTTGTTAGTAGCTTAACAGACTCACAACTTATTCAGTCAGTTATACATGATTATTTAGTAGTGACTTAATGATATCGAAACATATTTATTTTGTAAGTTTCTAGGGAAAGCTTTATGTAGAAAACCAATTTTTCCTAAACATGTCTCTCCCAATTAGAAACAGGTTCCTTTCATCTAAAAAAAAGACTTACCCCAACAAAACTATACAGACAGACAAATTAATCTATACATAACCAAGATGCCCCTCTTATCTTTTTACATAAGAAATGAACTTACACTAAACTATATTTTTGTTTTTTTATAGCATATAAAAGTTAGATTTTTTTTTGATAAATCGGATATTAAAGAGGTGTTTGGGATTGCTTATTTAAAACAACTTATACTTTTCTATAAAAGTCCTTATCAACTTGTTATAAGTTAGAATGGTTTAACTTCTTCAAAAACTCCTTATTACTAGTTTGACAAAATGTTTATTACCGGTACCACACCGAAATAAGTCAATAAGTTATTTTTATAAATAATCTCACACATCCCCTCAAAATGTAAGAGTAGTTAATAGTTATAGATTTGTTTGTTTATTTTTAATTAAGGAATGGTTGGGATGTCCATGTGGTATACAATAGCGAATGAGATTTGGTATCTACAATAATAAACAAACCCCGTTTAGATCTCAATTTTCATAATAAAATAACGATTCATTTCCATGCCTCTTTTTCCTTCTTTTTAATTATGGGAAAATCCATATTAAATCTTTCACTTAATTCTTTTTTATTAAATTAAACCAAAAGAAACTGGTAAATTTTACGTTAAATCGCACCTAAAAATGGTAATACATACGTAGCTTTTTCCTGTAACCGATTAAATCGGTCGACGCTTTTATGATAAAATCTTGAATTAAATTATCTTGAAAATCATATTTGCAAGCACTACATTTATAATTATGATAATATTAGTTCATATATGAGTTACACGGGTTTATATGTGAATCAGTTAAAATAGTTCATATGTGAATTACATATATGAACCCGTTTACCGCTTATTTGTAAAAGTTACGAAACTACCACCTCTATTTTTTGCATAGCTGCAATTTTTAACCAGTCAAATTCGATCTTGACCGTATGAAGGACTAGGATCACTTATTTAATTCTCAATATTTACTACTTCTCAAAATAACCTTTGCCTATATATATATCTCTCTCTCCCTCTCTCTGTATCTATCTATATATATATATATATATATAATATATATATATAATATATATATATATATAATATATATATAATATATATATATATATATATATATATATAGATAGATACAGATAGAGAGAGAGATACGCATGATCAAACAAGGATGATACTCATTTAAAAGAACATAAAAACGGGCGAATCACGTGCAAAATCACACATTATTTTACATTAATGGTAAAAAAAAGTTTCCGGGCTGACTTGTGGGTGCTTCTTCAGGTCGCCGGGCAAGGTCGTCTGAATCATATGTGATTTTGTATGTGATGTTAGTATAAAATCACATATGATTCATCTGTTTTCGTGTTCCTTTAAATAGATATAATTATCGTTTGATTCCCCCCCCCCTCTCTCTCTCTCTCTCTCTCTCTCTCTCTATATATATATATATATATATATATATATATATATATATATACCAAGTTATCAACATCATCCATTTTTACCCCCAACATCTCTTAAATGACATCTCTAAAGATATAAAAGTAGATTGTTGAGTCTGAAATGTGTTTGGTTTTGGTTTTGTAGTAAAAGGAAGTGTTAAATTTGTGAGTAGAGAGACATGTAGCCTGTCTTTGTCTCTGGTTCAACTCCAAATCCCATTAGTTATAAGCCTAAAATATAGTAACATGGGGATGACCCTCCCCTTTGGGTGGTCACCACCCTAATACTATTACATTTTATGGTCATTGGACCACCTCTCCTTTGGCTTATATAACCTACCATAGCTTTTATTTAAACAAAAACACACTACTCCCACTGGACCATTAATCGTATGGTTTCCATATGTTTTATCTCTCTACCTTTTAAGATGTCTAGATGTCGACCCTTCTCTATGAAACCAACCTAGACTAAAGGACTGTTTACCAACACGAATCAAGTAAAAAGCTAACTGTGTAAGACTGTGGTCTGAATCAACTCTAATCACTGCCTCAGTAAAAGGGTAACTTTTAAAACCCGCTTTTTTATTTGGATGAAATTAAGAGCGGAAGAATTTACCGTGGTTGATGAACCGCTAGATGTTAGTTAGAAAGAACACATCCTGATGAAAAGATAAAAGTAAAAAAGGGGTTAGATGAAAAAAAGTAAAAAAGTGAAAAAAATATATATAGATGGTGTCATGGAACAATATGTCTAGTGCTGACAGTTACTTCCAATGCAAACTATAACTCAAAACATGCAAGAAAAGGGTACCAAACCCCAAGATTAGCATCCACAAAGCTAACTGCCAAAACACCTTTAATTTTCACAACAGAAAAGCAAAACAAACAATACCCAAATTTCACCTTTTACTGGCTGGTAACTTTCAAAACATTATGGAGTTCAAATGCAACTAATCTGATTAAGACCTGTTATAAACAACCCCTATACTTTTTGTTTCTAACTACAGATTTTATACATTTTCCGGTTATCAATATGTATTGTCTAGCTGATATGAGATTCTATACACGACGTCAAGCTGACATGAGATTCAGTATATTTTATCTAACTGATGTGAGATTCCAACGCTAGTTATTAATTTATTATGTGTAATGGATTGATATGCCAAAGGAATTATATCCACTGAGTGTGGTTCAAGTATTCTTCTTGAAAAGATTAGTAAGAAAAATATAAAAAAATGGAAGTGCGCTTGGATCCAGATCTCTTCAACTGTAATTCTTGTATAAACAAAACATGGGGTTCCTCCCTCAACAATCCCCATAAAACACACATCTCTTCTCTTCTCTTCTCTTCTCTTCTCTTCTTCTCTCCTAACAGGAGCAATGCCTGCACAGCCTAAAGTCTTCTCTTTCACCTTTCTTCTTTCCATTAACTTCTTCTTTCTTCATACCTGCTACTCCATTGATTTACAGGGTCAAGCTCTTCTAAAATGGAAAAACACATTAAACAGCTCCACAGATGTGTTGAAATCTTGGAATCCTTCAGACCCAAATCCTTGCAATTGGTTTGGGATTCGTTGCAATTCAAATGGAGATGTGATCACCATAGATTTAAACTCTCTGGATATACAAGGACCGTTGCCTTCAAACTTACAGCCTCTTAAGTTTTTGAATTCCCTCATTCTTTCATCCACCAATCTCACTGGTACACTTCCTAAAGAGTTGGGAGATTATCTTGAGCTTACGGTTATCGATATATCTGATAATTCGATTACTGGTTCAATCCCACCGGAGATTTGCAGGCTCACCAAGCTCCAAACTTTGTCTCTTAATACCAACTTTCTTGAAGGTGAAATCCCTTTGGATATTGGGAATCTTTCCAGACTTAAAAAATTGATGCTTTTTGATAATCAGTTGAGTGGTGAGATCCCAAAGAGTATAGGAAGGTTGGGAAGTCTTGAAGTTATTAGAGCTGGTGGAAACAAGAATCTAAAAGGAGAGTTGCCGGAGGAGATTGGAAACTGTAGTAGTTTAGTGATGTTGGGTCTTGCAGAAACCAGCATTTCCGGCAGTCTCCCGGCGACCATTGGAAAGCTGAAACGAGTTCAGACAATAGCGATGTACACATCGCTATTGTCGGGTCCAATTCCGGATGAAATTGGGAATTGCAGTGAGCTGAGGAACCTTTACTTGTACCAGAACTCGATTACTGGTTCGATCCCAACGAAAATAGGGGAGCTTCAAAAGCTTGAGAGTGTGCTATTATGGCAGAACAGTTTGGTGGGGACAATTCCGGCCGAGCTCGGAAGGTGCACTGAGCTTATGACGATTGATTTATCAGAAAACTCATTAACAGGAAAGATTCCCACAAGTTTTGGAGGGCTATTGAAGCTTCACGAGCTTCAGTTGTCCGTAAACAAATTATCAGGTATCATACCACCGGATATCACAAACTGCACTGCTCTGACTCATCTGGAAGTTGATAACAATCAACTCACCGGTGAGATTCCGATTTCGATCGGGAAATTACAGAGCATGACTCTGTTTTTTGGCTGGCAGAATAATCTAACAGGCAACATTCCAGAGTCTTTATCCCAATGTGAGAATCTTCAAGCTCTTGATCTTTCTTATAACCAACTTTCTGGTACAATACCACGACAAATCTTTTCACTCCGAAATCTCACAAAACTACTGTTGCTTTCTAATGATTTGTCGGGTTTTATCCCATCCGACATTGGAAGCTGCACAAATTTGTATAGATTCAGAGTCAATGATAATAGACTTTCGGGTACTGTTCCATCAGAGATAGGGAATCTAAAGAATTTGAATTTTCTTGATATGAGCAACAACAAGTTCGTGGGAGAGATTCCTCCATCGATTTTAGGATGTGGGAATCTTGAGTTTCTTGATCTCCATTCAAATGGGTTCACCGGAGTTTTCCCTGAGACACTTCCTAAAAGCTTACAGTTTGTAGATATGTCAGACAATCGGCTTATTGGTTTGTTGACTCCTAACGTTGGTTTGTTAACCGAATTAACGAAACTTAATTTGGGAAAGAATCAACTTTCTGGAGAAATTCCAGGGGAGATCAGTTCTTGCAGTAAGCTACAGTTACTAGATCTCGGAAAAAATGGTTTCTCAGGTGAGATTCCAAAACAATTGGGTCAAATTCCGTCGCTTGAAATCTCTTTGAATCTTAGTTGCAACCAGTTCGTAGGTGAAATACCATCGGAGTTTATGGGCCTTAGTAAACTAGCAAGTCTAGACCTATCCCATAACAAGATTACCGGTAAACTAGACATCCTCACAGACCTTCAAAACCTAGTTTCCCTCAATGTCTCATTCAATGACTTCTCCGGCGAATTGCCAAACACTCCGTTTTTCCGAAACCTCCCTGCTTCCGATATATCGGGAAACCAAGATCTTTACATTTCTGGAGCAGTCATCACTCCAGCTGACAAAATGGGCTCTACTGGCCATGCCAGGTCATCAGCAAAACTTGCCATGTCAATCCTAGTCAGCATTAGTGCAATACTGGTCCTACTAGGAATCTACACATTGGTCAGATCGCGTTTGGCGAACAAAGAAGTAATAAGCCAAACATGGGAAATGACATTTTATCAGAAGATGGAAGTTTATGTTGAAGATATAGTTCATGATCTAACATCAGCAAACGTTATTGGCACCGGGAGCTCTGGAGTTGTATATAAAGTGACAACATCAAATGGGGAAACTATGGCTGTGAAGAAGATGTGGTCAACAGAAGAGTCTGGAGCTTTTAGCTCTGAAATTGAGACACTGGGTTCGATACGACACAAAAACATTGTTCGTTTGTTGGGATGGGGTTCGAACCAGACGATCAAGCTTCTGTTTTACGATTATTATCCTAATGGAAGCCTGAGTTCGCTCCTTCATGGTGCTGGGAAACGTGGAGCAGAATGGGAGGCTAGGTACGACGTAGTCCTAGGTGTGGCCCACGCTCTCGCGTACCTACACCATGATTGCATGCCTGCTATTTTACATGGAGATGTAAAAGCCATGAATGTGCTATTGGGTCCTAACCTACAACCTTATCTTGGCGATTTCGGGCTAGCTAGACTTGTTACCAAAGGTCAAAATGATACAACGAAACAAAGCCAGAGACCTCAGCTAGCTGGTTCTTACGGATATATGGCTCCTGGTAATCAACCATACACCCTTTTTACCTCTCTTTTTGGGGTTTCATGAAAACACTCGCTTTGTCCTTAAAGTAGAGGTCAAGTTTGCATACATTTTGCCTCTTCCATACCGACAGACCCCACTTCCGGGTGAAATATACTGGGTTGGTTTGATTTGGTTGACCTCTCTTTTCGGCTTATGTCAATTTCAGTTGTTTCAATTATTTATTCTGATTGGATATTGGTTTCTATAATTTCATCAGAACATGCTTCGGCGCAACGTATCACTGAAAAGAGTGATGTGTACAGCTTCGGAGTGGTCCTTTTGGAGGTCTTGACAGGAAGGCATCCACTAGATCCAACTTTGCCAGGGGGAGCACACTTGGTCCAATGGGTACGGGACCACTTGCATGGTAAGCGGGACCCAGTTGACATCCTTGATCCGAAGCTCAGAGGAAGAGCCGACCCTCAGATGCACGAAATGCTCCAGACACTAGCAGTATCGTTTCTCTGTGTCAGCCCACGTCCCAATGATCGCCCAATCATGAATGACGTAGTGGCAATGCTCAAGGAGATCCGCCACGAGGATACCATGAGGTCAGACACAGAGTTAAAAGGGAAACTATTGGTTCATCCTCCATCCGCGGACCCCACTAGAACGATGGTTTTACAAGGTTCCTCTAACTGTTCATATGCGTTCTCAGATGACTCAAACTAACCGTTATTCGGTGAAGAAATGCCTTATATAGCATCTTAGAGCAGATTTGTACTAAATATAGCAAAAAATGTACAAATTGTGTACTAGTTAATGAGGAGGTTGTAAAATAGGATTAAAAGTGTGAATGAAGTGAGATGACCCAAATGTCTGTGTGTTGGGTACTCAGGGGAAGTGTATGGTTTGATTTGGATCTAAATAATTAGAAGTTAATGCAAATAATCTGGTGTCTCTATCTACATCAAGGCATATTGCACATGGTCCCAGGCTCCTAATATCACGTGTCCATGTGAACTTTACAGGCTTACAGCAAAGCAATAAGTATTATAAAAAGGCTTAAAACTTTGTAAACAGGATACATACAAAACAAACACCATGAGACACAGATGGGTATTGGCGATTGCTTCATGTCGTTTTTATTCAACTTGGAAGCAACTACCATATTCATATTGAAGATGGTCTATCCCTTTTTTGAAAATGAGTGACCCGGTGTAAAGCAACACATTGGTCCAATAACTTTGAATCTAACTAAAAACCATGGTGGAAGTTATTAGTAGCACAAAAGTTGAGGCTTATATCCCATTTTCTATCCATGTAGGACGAGTTGTTACACCATGCTTCGCCTAAACAAATCCCATGGCAAGTCGCTATTGTAGGCTTCACCCATAGTTTGAGGTAAATATCTCAGTGGCTACAAGCGCATACGTAGATGTCAAGATTCGAACCCGGGTTGATTTTTATCATCCCTTTATCTTTATCCCCACGCTACTACCCTTGTGGTTAAGATTGCCTATCCTTTGTGATACTGATAAACATCAATTACATTCTCATGATAAGCTAGAGGTAGGGGCTGTTTTTTCTTTTCCTTTGAGCCATGTATGAATTAAAGCTCATTGAACTGTATGTATAGATTTAGATAAATTGATGTTGGTTTTTATGATGAATAAATTGTCTGAATGGCAAAAATGACCATTTTACCCTCGATCAAGATTGCGTGTTCATTTAAAATGATTGTTCGATAAATATGTTAATTCTGAATGAAAAAAATATATATCAATTTAACAACTATTTAAATAAAGATAATTTGATCTGACGTAATGATACAAATTCAATGATATTTCACAATTACATTAGTTTCTAGGGACCGGTCCAAATAAAAAAACTAAATATTATGAGGATGTAATAACGGAAGATTAAAGGAAGGTTCATATGTGAATCATTTAAAAATTCTGAAAATGATCTCTTTAAAGATGCGTGTATGAACCAACGTTACAGATAATTCATATGGGTTCGTATATATGGATCTTCAAATGGATTTTCTTAATGATTCACATATGAACATTCCCTTGACAATTTAGCCTTCTACCATCCAAAAAGAATCTATTTAGCTTTCTTATTTGAACCTCCCATTTAGTACCTAAATATAATTAAAATACATAGGTATGTAAACCTGTAAAAACAAAAAGATATTGAAGACACTAAACACTTTTATAAGAAAACTCGTGAACGTTATTCAGGTACATGTATCTTTAGAATAATTGCGGATGCAATAATAAAGGGAAAAAATGTGGTTTTCTTAGGGGCCGATTACCAAAACGCTTACCCAGTAAGTTGTTACTGATAAGAGTCAAACACTCTAACTTACTTTACTGAGTAAGATTGTACTTCATCAAAACGGTATCGTATGCAACAATTTACCCGGTAAACACTTACTGGGTAAGAGTCGTCACCCTCGTTTACCGAGTAAGACTCTCCATCCTTATCAATTTATCATTGCTCTTGTTGGGTAAGATTTCCCCCCTTGCCATGATCCGGTAAGGTAAATGATCCGGTAAGCGCTTACAGGGTAAGCATTTAGTAAACGGCCCCTTACTTTTCTAAGAACATAAGTAGAGCTCCTACAGCTCGTTTTTGTAGCCTATTTGGTTGCAATCACAGGAAATCTAAGTCATCAAGAGAAATTGGGTGTCATCTTATTGGCATTAAATAGATGAAACACTAGCAGACTAGGCATAGAGTGGGTAAATTAAATAAGATTTCAATGACTGAGATCTAGGCCAACAAGAAACAGGGCTTTAAACCATCATTCAATTAGCAGTAAATGACCAAACCACAGGTTTATAGATTGCAGGTTCCACAAGCAATAGAACAGATCTTCCGTTTAAAACCGATAGGGTAATAAATAAATGGATCCCACCAACACTAATGGTAGATACTAGAGATCTAAAGTACAACATAAAGTTATGGTGCATTTTACAAAATTAAGTGGCACCAACTAGTTATTTTTAGGCTGTATCAAAGGAAAAAATCACTTTGGACCGGATAGTACGAAACTGGAAGGACAAGAGAACATCACCGGACTGGACTAATTTGTCTAGTGTTTGGCACGACTAGGACCGAACAGAACTGGCCTGGACAAGTTGTCCCTAAATGTTGTTTAAATGATTTTATATGGTGGTTATTGGTGGTGGGTGGAAGAGGAGATGGTCGGCAGTGGTGGTCAGTGGCGGACCGTGGTTGAAGGACGTGGAGATGGTGGTCGGTGGTGGTGGTGGCGGCCGTATTGCTATACTCATTTTAACTAAATATTCAACCAATGATCAAATTCACATGTCAATGTTTCGTTGTGTTGAAAAGGTAAGTGGAGTTTAATTGCCTAAGCGGATATTAAGCAAATGCTTAAGTAGATATAAGGAGCTCATATACGTACATAAATTGTAGTTACTTTTAGACATGAAGATTAAAATTTTGATGCTATATTATTTTGATACAATTATTGGTACCAGAAAAATTCTCTTTGAAGTTGAAGAAAACGGATTGATGAACAAAAGATGACTGAAGCAGATAGTATGCTTCAATCTTTTGAAACAATTCAAGAAGTAGTTGCTACCGGTTCGTGAATTAAGTGTTATCAATCGTTCAATGTAATTGAGATTTACACATGATATAAGGGATTTAAGTTAAACTATAATACGAGTTAGGAGGTGCGTACTATGATGTAACTTGAACCCCAAACTGCCTAAGGCCACTGAATGGCAGGGTCAAGGGTGTTGAAAGAGTCCCACATCAGCTAGGCTTGAACCATTTCTCTTTTATACATGTTGGGACCTCTTCCTTTTTCCAAAAAAATGTTGGAACCTCTTCTATCCTTAAGGGCTCATTTGGATACAGGGATTTCATATATTCTCACATGATATCATATTAGGGTTATAACAATTTTTCTGTGCGAATTTGAATTCTACCCAAGTAAATTTCGATAAACCCGAGGCTGTAATTGGATCGTCACGATACCCTAGATATAACACCATCTTACACATGCGAATAGAGGAATGTTGCACAACTAGAAGCAATCACAGAATAAGAGCTTACTTGCTTCGTACCTTTGACCCCAACTTGATGAACACCATCTCAAGGGAGAAAATGCTTCCCACATGCAATATACACAGTGATCGGTCCTTGAAGCAAACTTGGTAATTCAATAACTGCTTAAACATAACAGCGTGGAAAACGAATCAGAATTTTAGTGGGGATTTTAAATTTTTAATTGAAGTTTACTCGATCCAAAACCTAAAAGTTTTGAAGTCAATATGAAGATATAAAACAGAACCCTAAAAACGGTTAAATGTAGGGATTATACCTAACTCAACACATATTATTAAAATACTTGTCGATTTCTTATCCGAAAGTAAACCAATCCTCCAATTCTTCCCAGCATTTCAGTGAATTAGGGTTGTAAAAAATTTACGCATTTCATAATTCTCGGAATCCTTTACACATGGAGAAGAATGGCCAATTTCGATGGAATTTGAGCATCTATGAATGCTCCGAAGAGCGTTCTCTGGTTGTCTGTAATCTCGGCGATCCACTGAACCGATTCTCACGTTAAGAAGTTGACACAAAAACCTCGAGTTTTCATGGCAACATATGTAGATCTTTAGGAATAAACAAATAAGAATTTACCAGGCTTAAAGAAGACTGAAGTTTGAACGCAGAGCTGTGGATGATTTCCCCTGCAAGAGATGCCTGCCATTTTGGCCTCGAATTCGAGCAAACGAGCTAGAAAAAGATGGCGGTAAATTCATATTGGCATGAATGTATTTTCTATTTTAGCCCCTTGTAGTTTCGTGATTGGCAAAAGTCTCCTTAGAGTTCTAAATATGATCAAACTACCCCAGCTTTGTTCATATCTCGTGACAACCGGTCTTATCGGTTATAGATTAGAAAGAATCCATTATTTGGGGGGAGGGGGGTGGAGTTGATTATTGACAACTTCAACCGGTCCCGCAGAGAACACGCCTCCAAAGACATCAATATAATGAGACAATTTTTGGCTCATTTAGCGGTTAAGACTAGCGGAGGGACCCTGTCTGTATTTGGACAAAGTGATCTCATCCTTTGTCAACGGAATTACACAAAAGATCCATTATTAGTATAGTTTTAATTTTATTAATAGAAGAAATATAATAAGCAGTTATAATTATAAGTTTTTTTATAAAACATAAAGTGGTAAAGGTGTACTGTAAACATAAAAAGGAAGGAAAGAATATATATATGATCTTATATGTTTACGTTTTCATTTTAAGGTTTTTGTTGACTAAGAGGCCGTTTACTAATTTTTTTGGTTAAGTGCTGATTCGGGTAAGAGGTCTGACTGGAGTAAGTGCAAATTAGATTTTCTTGTTTACCAAACATTTTGTATTAAGTGTTGATTGAGTAAAATACAAATCGAAGACAAAATGAAGCCAACGATACCTGAAGCAAGCTGTCGCACCAGTTTATATGAAGAAGAGTGCACCGATTTAGGGTTTTAGATGGAGAGGGTAGATAAGAAATACATGCCTCTTACCACGGTAAGATTGATTTTTTTTTTTTTTTTGCCTGACCCCAGTAAGAGTACGGTCAGAGGCAGATTGATTTTGTTTTTAAGTAAACACCTTTACCTCTTATCCAAGTAAGCATCTCTTAATGGGTAAGAGGTGGTAAGAGATTAGTAAACGGATAAGCAAATTGATTTTGTTTTTAAGTAAACACTTTTACCTCTTACACTTTTACCCCACACACGAGAGACTTTTTGAATTCCAACATTGTTGTTGGGTACGCACTAGTTTGATTGTTGAGACCTTAGCGCGTTAAGATGTCGTTGTTTCAAAGAATATCATAATTGCTTAGAAGTATCCGATGGCGAGCACATTGGTAACATTTCCAAAAGGGCGATTGACCCAACTGTACGTAGATTACATGTAGGGCTCAGCCTCTCAGAAGATCAAGGGTTCAAAACTCACAAAAGTAAAAAGTGCACATGAATATTTGTCGTGTACACATTTCAATACAAAACAAATGCCTTTTCTATTAGCCGTTTAAAGCAAATAATTCAAGGGCTTGTCTCAACTTTCTCGTATATCACACAATTTATAAGACCAAAAATAGAGCCAATACATGAATCGTGTAATAGTAACGGGAGCTAAATTACAAATTTGGTTCGTTTCAATAAAAAAAAACAATTCGAGAGATTCCCACACTCCGAATCTCCTCGTGGTAGCATCCACGGACACGATGGTCGTCCAAAAAAATCAAGCACTATGCTATACATAAAACTATAAACAACAAAGAAAAAATGGGAGGTGAAAACAAAAAAGAAGCTCTATACCGGGTTTTCATGAAGGTAAAAACTGAACAGAATAAGTATATCCCACTTAAAAGCAGCGTCTGATAGATGAGATGTATACAGACCTGTCCTCTACCATAAAGAATACAACGGTTATTTCCATGAAGAACCTCGGGCTTTCATCAAGGTAGAACCATGAATTTTCCTCTAGGCGTAGAACGGCTCCTTCTAAATTTAGGAATCGATGCGTTGCTGCCTTCATTTCCATTCTTTGCACCATTTGAGGGTTTATTTTCATTTCTACCAGTAGTCATAAAGGGTTGCAGGGTCTGCCCAGGTTCCCTGTAATAGAGAGGCAAATGTTATTCCACCCTCTGAGTTTTGAGGTCAAACGTATTGGGAGCCCAACATTCTCGTTGGTGCACCAGTACGGTTCCGAGCTCTGATACCATTTATAACATTCCAGACCACCATCTGATGGTACAAGGATTGGCTCTGATACCATTTATAACACTCCAAAGCCCAAAGCAGTAGGCTGGCCTAATAACTTCGAATCCAATTTAAAACCATGGTAGAAGTTATTGGTAGCCCACAACTTGAGGCTTATAATGAGCTCACAAATCCCATTTTTTGTCTATGTTGGACGAGTTTTACAATATATTAAAGTAGAAAGGTCCAGTTTTTGGGTGATGCGGGACTCTTACACAAGACGTGAAGCTTTTGATGTTGAAGTTACAAATTGTCGGTTTCAACTAAAAGATTTGGTGTTGAAGATATAATAATTATGTTATTGACAAAACTCCAAGATTTAAGGGGATATTCAGCTCAATGACCTTCTTCGGAAGTTGGTTTTGCAAAATGACCCTCTAATGTGTTTCTAAGTTTTTTTTTTTTTTTGATTAACCTGGACATCCAACCCGTTATGTGAGCCGACTAATCCTAAGATGACGACCTGTTTTGCAGATAGCCCGGAGTCACCGCATTTGAACCTCCATGGCCACAAAGGGGTTTTTATTCCTCCTTGGATTTGAACCTGGGACCTCCTGATACTTTTGACCTTTGGAGCCAAGCTCAAACCAACCAGGCACCACCCTTGTGGTTAGTGTGTTTCTAAGTTTTTACAGGAGCAGGTGGTTTTCAACCCGACAAAGGTCATTTAGCTGAAAAAGGAATTAGGTCACGTTCCTAATCGATAACTCATTTAAGGTCATTTATCCAAAGGACCCGAGATCGGAGATTTCAGTACCTGACTTCCGAATTGTGAGAACTTCTTGATGAGCTGCGTTGAAGCTTTTTCGTCCCAATTGGAACATGGGACTTAGTCGATGCATGCTCATTTTCCGCCTCTAAAAGGTCACTTCTTTGACCTTCTTCGATGGTTTCGCCAACCTCCACATCGGAAAACACTGTCCGTAGAAGATCAGATTTGTGGATCTTAACCGGAAGTTGACTTTTTGCCTTGACTTGATTATGCTCAAGCTTAAGTTTCCCGATGCCACCTTGTCTAACATTAAGCATTTGCTTAAATTGCTCCTCTTCTTGCTCTTGATTAGCTTTCTTGTTGTTAGCCTTTGGAAGATTATGTAATGATTCGGAAACGGTATCTTGTGAACTTAAGTACCCTCTTTTGTTATCAGTTGATGGTAAAATCGGTAGGGTGGCTAAAGATCTATTGACAGAAGCTCGTATCGGATATTGCAATTTTGTGATCGGAGGGTTATCAGGTGTATCAGGCTTGGTTCTACCTCTTGTGTGGACTCCTCTATCTGTGGATATCGATCGCCTAATAGGAGGAGATGGTGATCCCTCTTCGGCAAGAAGGGGCATTTTGGGGGCATAATCCTTTTCTGTGAACTTCGAGGGGAATCGGGACCTCCTTTGCTTACCTGATGAACAGCTTCTAACCTGCTATGACATATAAAAGTACATTGATCATAAAAAAATCAAACCAAACCAAAGGAAACCAGTATATCTCACTCAAAAGTAGGGTCCAGGGAGGGGTAGGATGTACACATCCATACCTCAACCACTGGGCTCGAGAGGTTGTTTCCGTGAGGGGCCCCCAGGACCCAAGGTGTGCGCAAGCAAGCAATAATATAGGTAATATAATAGGTAAAACAACGATTCAATTGTGTCTGTCCAATTCAACTGTGTGCAAGTAGACAATGTAGTAAGGTAAAACATAGTCATTGCATACAAAGTATACCATACATTTGATCTCAAAGTAGCACTTGTTGGATATGGATCCTAGGGCCAGGTTCAGGGGAAAGCCGCAAAAAGATAAAAACTGAGGAACACCGTGGTAATCATTCATCTGTATGGTATGCACATATGCATACAAGTAGTTTGTAAGTAATTTGTCCGATATGCACATGTGCATAGAAACCAAGAAACATCTTCAACTACTTGTATGCACATGTGTATATCGTACTGATGAATGGTTACCTACATACTACTAAACTTGTGTTACCTACATACTACTGAACTTTCACCATGGTTGTAAGATTTTAGGACTAACCTCAGGAAGCTTGTTATCATCAACATGGCGCTGATTTGCTTCGGGTCTCAAATTGTTTGTAAGATTATGTCTCGGCATGTGAACGGGTGAAATTGCACCTCGTGTCATCCCACTTCTCAATTGTTCTAATTCAGCCTCTTTTTTCTCCACCAAAAGCTTCAAGTTGGATATCTGGGTGAACAAGAAAAAGGGTCATAAAAAACACATTTTAGCAGGCATTCATTCATGTCCACCAAAGAGAAGATGAAAGTGAATGTTAAACCTCTTCTTTCATCTCTCTAATTTCACCGGTTTCTTTATTAGATCTAGCTGCTCCTAGTTCAATTGAGGCAACCCTCTCCGCAAATTTGAGGGTGCTAATCGTCTCTCCAATGGCATTAGTCTCGGGATTTATATGCACAAACATCAGTGTTTTAGCATGCCCACCTGCACAGAGAACAAGTTTGTGACAAATGATGAGATAAAGCAGTCTGTGTAGATTAATCTGTCTGTATAGATGAGAAAGGTTTTTGTTTGGGAGGGTTTTTCCATAGACGGAATGAGCATGTTTTTTAATTGGGAGGGGCAGGTTTGGAAAAAAAAACTTGGCTTTTTGCATAAAGCTTCCCCCTAAAAGTTAAATTGTTACCTAAAGAATCTTGCAATACTTGAGTGAGCTTGCTATTTCTGTAAGGAATGTGTGTGCTCTTTTGTGCAAGGGCAGAAATGACATCTCCAAGTGCAGAGAGAGATCTGTTAATATGCTGAGCTTCCTTGAGGCGCTCGCCAATGGCCTCCGATTTGTCCACCCTCTCACTTCCGGCAAGATCTACTAGATGAAGGCAACCCTTTAAAGTAGATCCAGAAACTAGTTCTTTTCCTCGGATATGAACGGTAAGAACACTGTAAAAGAATAAGTAAATTATTGAATAACATGTTCTCATGGAACAATCTTATTTGCATTTCCCACTTTAGCACACTTCTCACAAGCCCGGGGTTGGTGCGTTTGGTACACCGGACAAAACAGGCTCATTGTTCCACATTTGACAGGACTTTTATGTGGAATAGAGAGAAAAAGAGTGGAACAGGCGTGTTACACCCCCACCCCATTGAACAAGGTAGAACAACCTTATATTTTACCAATATAAACTCAAAATAAAACCTAATTCTATTCTAAAACATCAAATGCATCTCTCTTTTAAATTTTATTTATTGTATTTTATGCTCTTTAAACTTTTACTTTATTGTCTTCAAAATATTATTTTTATATTGTTTCTGTATTTGACTAATTTATGTAATTCATTAAATATTGATAATAAAATAATAATATAGAAAAGGTATAAAATAAAAATACATACAGTTTTTATTTTGATGTCATTTTAATCATATTGACGAAAACTTTTTAATGATATACATTGTTATAAAAAAATATTTATTTTATTATAATTTAATGAATTATATAAACCAATCAAAATATATATACAATTCATTAGGGGTAAATTGGTCATTTTATCTGTTTTATCCTGTCCAGTTTAAAGCTGAACAGTTGTTTTGTCCTCATCTGTTCTGACTTATCCTATCCTGTCACCCCACATAAACAACCGCTCTACTCTTTGAGATAGAAGTCATGTCTGCATACATCTTACCCCCAGACCCCACTTCCAGGTAAGATATTCTAGCCTCGTTTGGTTTTTATTCTCCTGGAACAAATAGAATAATAAAGGCAACTTACCTGTGAGAACGGCTACTCCGTTCATTTAAAGCAGTAGCACCGACTGCACGATTTCTCTGGCCAATTCTCATCAGATCAAGAACATCTTGAGTACACTTAACAGAAACCAAAGATGCATCAGGAACATTAAGACCATTCAGCTGGGAATTGTTTCTTATATCGAGTGTGTTGATAGTCAAAGAATAACAACGGTCAATAGTAAATTTATAAGAATATGAACTTGGAGGCTAAAAAAGAAGCAGTTTAACCACAAGGGTGGTGCCTGATTGGTTTGAGCTTGGCTCCAAAGGTCAAAAGTATCAGGAGGTCCCAAGTTCAAATCCAAGGAGGAATAAAAATCTCCTTGTGGCCATGGAGGTTCAAATGGCGGTGACTCCGGGCTATCTGCAAAGCAGGTGGTCGCCCTGGGATTAGTCGGCTCGCATAGCGGGTTGGATATCCAGGTTAATAAAAAAAAAAGCAGTTTAATTGATCATGAGAAGGGAAAAAATTGGAAGGATATCTTCTATTGGAGCCATCAACTACCAAGAGATCTCTCACTTGCTCGTTGTATATTTCAATCATTTGAACTCCAACCTCGTACTTTATAACGTCCATTCTTGCCTCCGATAATTGAAACAAATCTCTCAGGGCTCTATAGTTCACACCCCATGTATCCTCTGTAGTCATGTCAGGGCCACTCTTCACATGTGAAGATGACAATATGCAAGAGTAATAGTCACATTTATGTAATAGAAAATGATATAAAAAGTCATTTATAAGAAGCCAGGAGTGAAAAACTTTCCTCCCTGTGAGGATATGTGGAGATTTATTATATTACTCTCTAAAAGATCCCTGCAGGAGAGATGTGGGACTCTAACATGCCCCCTAAAACAGAGGCTCGACGGACACAGATTGTATATCCTATGGCGTCGAGAGGGGGCAAGACGGGTTCAATTTGTCCCAGAGTGTCAAGTCCCTAGAATGATAGACCTTGGCTTTGATACTATTGAGAATAGGTGGAACCCCGTTAGATTACTCTCCAAAAGAGTCTTTGAAGAGAGAAGGGAGGTTCCAACATATATCAAGAAGAAATGGTCCAAGTCTAGCCAAGTGGGACTCTCTTAACACTTGTACATGTTGAGAGTTGAAAACCGGATGACCGAGCATTTGATTCCAAAACATGAAAAAGTCAAGAAATTTCAACAAAGGTCGTCGTCTTACCATTGTGTATGTCTTCCCGGAGCCCGTTTGGCCATATGCAAAGATACAAACATTATAACCATCAAGCACAGATCTAATCAATGGTTGGGTATCTACATATATTTGCTCTGCAAATAAGTTGGAAATACATCAGAACTGATACTTGGACATTTGTATATGATGGTACACATATCTTTCCATTTGTGATTAAGCATCCAGACTTTGTTCTCTTAATACCAGAATTACCTTTCCATGCATGAATTAAGGTGCAACCTAGAACCGTAATAATTAACTAGAAAGAAAAAGGGAAATCCAAACAAGAAGATCAACTTACGCTGAGTTGTGTTTCCTCCGAACACTTTGTTGAAAGTGAACATCTTCCTAGCATCCTTTCCCTGCTTATGACGATTAACAATCATAATATTTCCGTTTTCTCCTACGTAATCAACTGTGGATTGTTCATCAGATTTGCCATGCAGAACGGGTTTCACTCGACAGAAAACTCTTATTGCTCCTGCAAACCAAGAAAAATAAGCTCCATTAATGATGCAAGCTTTCCTAACCAAACAAGCTATTCAAGAACATAAGTACCAACCTTTTAGGTCTTGAACTTGATTGTAAAGCTGCCGGTTTTCTTCCAAAACCTTGTGGTATGAAGAAGAGGCTACTTCAAGGTCCTTAGTGTGATGCACTGGAGAAGATCTAATGTTAGTTTTGCCTGGTTCTAATAGGAAGTTCTTTTTTTTGAGGTGTCCTAAGCTACGCCTAAATTAATCCCAGCAAATTGTGACTGCAAGAAATCAGCTCTCATAAACTCAATGGCCACAATTGTTGTGTATGCCTGAAAACGAACCCGGAACCTCAACCACTATGCCACAACAGTTGTGGTTAATAGGAAGTTCTTAGAGGGCACTAACTAACCAATTTTGCGAGAAGATGTAAAAACTAGTCTAAGAACTCACCGATTCTCTTAAGTTCTTGTTCCCAAGTTAAATGAGCTTGTTGGACTTCTAGTTTTGTCAAATGAAAGCTGGCTTTTAGCTCCTGGAATGTGTTAGAATGTGTTAGAAGAAAATTGTTGAGAATATGGCACAAACAACCGCGCATACCTCTAGTTGTTTCTGTTGAAGATCTAATACGTTTGTTTGGTCAGCAGAGTAACTAATACCGTGCCGCATGCCTTTACCCTTGCCACCACAAATGCAAAACTGGGATAAGTCATTTGATGCTAAACCAGATCTTTGGTCTATATATATAGAAATGGCTTGTAGGAATTCATGCTTTAACAACGGTTTGCAGTTGCCCTTCAACATGTTCTTCAAGAATATACCAAGCTGAAAGGGATAGAAAAATCATGCACTCGGTGATTGATTGATGACGATCAAGATTTCGGATTCACTACAAATCAACTGTTTGGAATGTTACCTGACTTCCTTGAGAAATAAGCAGTGCTGAAAGATCTTTAACGGCCTTCCTGAGTACTATATCGATAACCTGTAACGTTCCCGAAACATATCCTTGAGAACCAAGAAAACCATCTCAAAATAGAAACACTAAAAACCAATAGGGGACAACCGTTTTTCGTGAGAAGGTGAAAAAAGGTACAACCTTCACACAATATAATTTAACCTCATTGTAAAACGTGTGAACATTCGCACAATATAATTTAAGGAAATCAACAAAAATAGTCGTTTCAGCCGGATACATTTACCTTTTAGCCATTTCTTTCCCAAATTTCCAAAATGTCATTACCTCCGCAAGTAGCAACTCCTCAACTTGCAGAGGGGTCAAAAAGTAAAAAAAAAAAGAAATTTTTGAACATGGTCCGCAAGTACCAGGGACCAAGTCTTTAAATTAGTCTATATACTTCCTTGGACCCAAACTAATTTACGGATTTGGTCCCTACATTTGTGGAAGTGTACTTGCGTACCCAGACTAATTTACAGATTTGGTCCTGGTACTTGCGGACCATGTTCAGAATCTTTTTGTTACTTTTGCGGACCATGATCCGACTCTATGGGACAAAAGATAAGTGGGAAAACAATACAGAATGGACCTTACCTACCATTGAATTCAAAGGGAAGTCATCAAGTTCATTAGTCTCTGTGAGATACGTCTGTAAAAGCCCGATACCAAGACGGTCAAAGAGGAAGGTAAATGCAGTTGAAACTTTTGATTCCTCAAGAGAGACTTCACTCGATAAATGCAGATATTCGAGCAGTTCTTCGAACTGTGATGACTCTGATTCATCCAGAGATTCATCTGCACTTTCACTGCCAATTAATGAAGAAGGTGATCCCTTTGGAAAAGAAGTGATCCTCACAGTCCCACCATATTTCCATACTCCAATCCCACCTGATTTCCTCCACTCATAATAACCTTTCAAACATAAAATGCAGTCTACAACTTTACCAGATGAACCTCCCTGAGAAGAATATAAAGAAACTGGATCAAGTTTCAGTCCACGACAATTTTAAAAATTAGGAATAAGAACAGAAGAGAAAGAATAAAAAGAAAGGAATTCTTAGTCATTTCTCTCAGAAAATTTAAAAAACGACTCTCCACATGTAGCAATTCCTCAACTTGTGAAAAGGTAAAATTGTAAAAAGAGTTTCTAAACATATCTGCAAATACAGATCTAAAGGTGCCACTTGAGAAAGTAATGACATATTTACAGATTTGGTCTTTATATTTGCACATATTTACAGATTTAGTCCCTATATACCATGTTTAAAAAAGTCTTTTTTATACTTTGACTCATTCGCAAGTTAAGGGACAAGAAGTTGCCGAGGTAGGGGCTATTTAACTATTGCTGAATGATTTTGTGCAGTTATGATACGGTATAAAATAAAATATAATTATTTAGTAATTATTTAGAATGAAATTAAGTGTTGAATGATTAAGGGGTACAAGATATAAAATCATTCCAATTGTTTTATAACAATCAAGAGACAATCTTGTCTTTTGCCAAACAAGATTCAAGAAAAAAAAAAACTTTTGTCGTGACAGTTAGAAATGACTATTATGAGGTTAGAAGATAAACTAAACCCACCTTTTCAAGATCAGAAACCTCGAAGGTAAGAAGCTTCATTTGACCAACAGCAACTAAGAAATTCCTCGTATTTTCGAAATACTGAATTGCAGTTTGCGCCGCCCCTTCTGTGTCGATGATCGGAATTTCTACCACCTTAAGAATTTCCCCAATCATCATTATCATTATCAATTTCAAAATTTTATATTTTTTTTCGTTTAGATTTGGTAATAAACCTTGATTTTCTGTTAACGTACCTTGGGAATTGCGCCGGGATTGAGTTTGTTCAGAACATTGCAGAGGATGAGGCCGTTGCGAAGAGAGAGACAGAAGTGTTCCTCGGAGGGTTCGGTGGGGAGTACCTCCGCCGCACCATGGTCCATTTGTCTTAGCCATTCCGCCGCCTGGTTCCTCCGAGCCGCTGTAATAATTTGCTTTAACAGTTGGTTATCCACAGACTTTTTTTATTATTATTATCGGGATATCCGACCCGTTATGCAAGCCGACTAATCCCAGGATAAACCATATGTAAATCAACAAAAGAAAAATCATATGTAACAATTTATCCGGTAATGATTAACGGCATAAAAGTTGTCACATTCACTTACCGGATAAAATTTGTGGTTCTTGTTATATTCATCCAGTAAGGTATGTAAGTTGGTAAGCGTTAACGGTCATAAAAGTTGTCATGCTCACGTAGCGGATAAAATTCTTAGTTTCTACTATATTCATCCAATAAGGTAATGTAAGTTGGTAAAAACTTACCCGTTCAACGTTTGGTAAACGATACCTAAGTCTTTATTTTATCCACCCACGTAAAACATATATAACTACACGTATATTGTATTTCAATTAGTTCTTTGTTATTTTAACACATGTAATTAAACTTTAAATACTAAATCATGTGTTCTGAGTGTATGATTGGATTTTGAGGTGGTCATGGAAGGATTTTATTTTATTGGGTTAAGGTTGCTGTTTCGTACCTAATTTCTAGATGAACTTTGTGCATCTCTTTATAGGATGACACCAGGTTAGTATTGTTTTTAATCTCTTATGCAATCACCATGGTTTTTTTAGCCATTGCACCCTATTTATGTTACTTTGGACCTGGTTTTGGTCACTACACCATGGTCTTTTGAGACAGACCTAGTTAAGGACCTACGGTGGCACGTAGCAGTCTAGGGGTGTAAAGTGTAAATGACATAAGACAACTCGCGAGCTAGTCAAGATCGACTCGGTTAAAACTCGACTTTGATAGGCTTGGCTCAAACTCGAACTCGACTCGATATATTAACGAGTGGATGCGAGCTACCCAATACTCAACTCGAAAAGCTCGTGAGATACTAGATTTTTTTTTATCTATAATTAGTTTCAAATATATAATCAGTTTTATAATATAATATGTATAATATAATGTAATAAAAATGTCTTATATTTTTAGATATTTGAATAATATTGTGTATTTTTAACTATAAAAATTAATCAATAATTCTTTTTAATATATATATATATATATATATATATATACAAGTGTTGGTGAAGTTGTCCCATATTGAAAGAGAGATAGTTATAAAAATGATGAAGAGGTGTTATAAAAAGATACGAAGATGAATAAAGTTTGTAACTTTGTATATATATATATACAAGTGTTGGTGAAGTTGTCCCATATTGAAAGAGAGATAGTTATAAAAATGATGAAGAGGTGTTATAAAAAGATACGAAGGTGAATAAAGTTTGTAACTTTGTCTATTTGAGGATGAAGCTTGAGGTGGATCACTTTAGTTTTAAGAGAACGTCTTTTAAGTGTTATAAATTTTATGAGACAAGACACTAATGTTTCATAAATTTCGATGGGTGAGCTTGATTCGAGCTTGGTTCGAGCTTTAAACGAGTTCGTGCTTCAGTTCGAGTTTAAAAATTTTCAATCGAGTTCGAGTCGGGTTTAGTTTTTAACTACTCACGAGTTTTCGAGTCGAGTTCGAGCTTGAGAAATAGTTATCGAGTTCGAGTCGAGTATATTGATACTCGAGCTCGACTCACATCATTTACACCCCTATGTAGCACCGATAAATCCTTCTTTCATAAGGTAAAGGTTCGTGAAAGGTACAACTGTTTTATATGATGTCATCATGTGAAAAAATTCATGGATTCATCCCTTATTATCTTTAAACAAAATTATGCTCTAATTATGATATGTCTATTACTTGAGATAACATTTTTGTTAAGTTGTGGTCAGTTTTTATATAATGAGATGTTTTAGGAGTGCCTTTTTTTTTTAAGATGACAAATTTTCAAACCATACTCTTGACTGGTAATAAAAAAAGATATTTATGGATCATTTACCAAATGCTTACTCGGATAAACACTTACCAAGTCATATTACCTCATCGGATGAATATGGTAAGAACCAAGAATCTTACCCGGTAAGAGCGAGACAATGACCAAGAGTCTTACCCAGTAAGTGAGAGCGACGACTCTTACCATGGTAAGAACTTACAAGATAAATTGTTGTATGATGTAGTTTGGTGGACTAAAATCTTACCCGATAAGTATAAATAGTGTTAAATTTTATTGGTAAACACTTATTGGATCTAACATTATAATATAAAGTTCTGATACCATTTATTATTCATTTTATAATTATGGTCTCACGTTCAATATTTTCATATAAAGAGGGTCACTTTTATTCTTTTGGGTTTGGTCAGTAGCGGGTTTAACGGTGAAAAAGTTCAATTAGATTTTATTAAAAGCAATGGTCATTATGGAAATTGGTCCTGCTAAGCATCTCCTAATCAAGTGTGTTTTGTTGCTTTAATACAAGGCGTGTTTTATTAATGGGCCGACCCACTACTCACAAAGTGGGCCTCCAATACTCATAATGACTACCCATTTTCATATTATAATCTCAATTTTATTTCTCATCTATACTATATTATAAATTATTTGATAAAAACTCTTAAAAACCATTTTTTATGCATGAAGTATTATATATTGATGTATATTACTTAAAATTTAAGATTACAAGTAAATTATGCATAAGTACAACTTATTAAAGCTCCATGTTTGAATTCKTGTAACTAACTACGGATAAACATAATCAAATATAAGATAAACATCTTATTTTAAAATATAAAAAAACTAAAATATAATTAAGATAATTATCGAGTTCTAACAAAATAATTAATTATTATCTTTATAAGAAAATTATATTATTAAATCAAATATAAATTACTTCATTATTAAACTTACATTAAATTATAATAAAAAAATTAAATTAAAAAATTACACAAAAAATAAGAATTTTAAATAGTTAATTTATATTAATATCGATATATTTTTCTTAAAATTTTATAATATTTTCAAATTTATATTTTATTCAAAAATAAAACATCTATTGTTTTTTCAAAATCACATAAAACCATACTATAACATCGACTGAGATAAAAAAATGAAATATTAAAATCAAAATGTATCTCGATGCATTGTACGAGTACCCTTATATTACTATTTAAATAAAATTAATTATTTTTTTAAGCAAAAGATTGATTATTGAAACTGAACCGATTTCACACATAGCACACTTACTTTAAACCACATGTAAGAAGGTATTTCAGAGTTGTCTTAAGACTAAGGCTAATGAAAGGGTACAAGTCTTATCCAAATTTAACTTGTCATGATTTTTAGAAAACCCGCTCTTGCCGTTTGAGGTTAATCACCCATTAATATTACAAAATCTTGAATGACACGTTACTGATCTTTAAAACATACTCTTGAACACTACGCAATCATTTAAAACAATAACAATATGCTACGATGGATTGATTTCATATCTCGTTTTTATCATTCACATATTTGTAAAAGATTTATACTGTATTTTGCCAAAGGGATACTGACAAGATGACTTTATTCAAATACAATACCTGTATTTAGTTTAATCCCAGACCCTACTAGCTTCAAACACTAAGGGACTGTTTGGCAGTTGCTGAATAGTTTGGTAAAGACTTTGAAATAGATTGTTTAGTAATTGTTTACAATGGAATTAGGATGTTGAATGATTAAAGGATGTCTATGATACAAAATCATGTTGATGATTTAAGGACCATTAAGAGACAAACCTTTTTTGCCAAACAAAATTCACCTCTTAAAGATTCAGATGTTGCCTCCTAATTGAAACATTAAAACAACCCTGATTCAAAAAAATAGGCTTTTATATTGTCAAAATATTGTATTATTTTAAATTATTATTTTATTTATATCTATACAAACAACAAGAACAAGGCTAATACTTGATGTATCTATCATACGATCTTAAAAAAACCGAAAGAAAAAAAGGGATTTCTAGTTATCATCGATGGAAAATACAAATTAAATTAGAAAACAAATCAATTTTGTCAGACTCGGCATCATTCTGATTTTGGCAGATATGGAGGAACAAAGAGGAGGAGGAGTAAAAACGTACCTGCTGCTTCGGCTTTTCGTTGCGCTAATTCACGATCATCGATGAACTCTTCAGTGCCATTTGTAAACGAATTTAAACCTTTAAGTCCTCTGGAGTTCTTGTTAGGTGAGTTGAATAGCATTGAATTCGACCTAATTTCTTGTGGCATTATATCTATATGAACACATAAAATCCACACGAGTAAGAAATCAAAAAGGAAATAGCAATTAATTAATCATCAGTTTTGATAACCGACATTATGAATGTGATTGAAATTACGTGATAATCGAGAGAAATTGAATTAAATAAGTGGCCTCACCGGAACTGCAGGCGGCAAAAGGAAGGTGTACGAACTTCCGGCGGTGGATGTGATCGGAATTATGGTGGATGTGATCGGAGATGTTTGATTTAGCGATCGGATCTATCTAGGGATGAATGGAGGAAAGGATTGGGAGGTGAAACGAGGAGCTCGTGATGAATTAAACAGGCGTATTCAAATTATGGAGATGGAGTCTCATTTAATGCCCCCAAACCCAAGCCCAGGGTGCAAGAGAAAGTGGAAGCAGACAAGACTTTGTAGGGGATGAAAAGCTAACGGCATTCATAAACTTTTTTTAAATTTATATGATTTGTATAATTATTAATTTATATATATATATATATATATATATATATATATATAAACTTGGAATCATGAGATCAAGGAGACTAATTCTCAATCATTGAATTATATCTACAATTTGAACATTCATAATCATAAAATTGTCATGAGACTTCTCAATAATCACAAAATTGTCACCGTGCAACTTTAGACCATTAGATCATTAGCTTATAATGTTGATCAATAAACATGAATTGGTCTTACGAGTCTCACGAAAAACCATTGTTCTCACGTGAACCCAACCTTATATATATATATATATATATAGGTTGATTATTATACAACCATTGACATTTATG